GGGGCGTGTAGCAGTTCTTGCCGTAAAGCAAGACTGACTCTCGTGAGACTTCTGAGCCTGTGGGGGCGGGTCGGTGCTCCTGCAATTACAAGTACGGTATTTCCCCTCCAGACCACCAGGGCGGCCGAGAAAACCTTTGTTCAACCTGAAATGACTCATTTAATCATCCAAAACGTTATGGAACACATTAATTAACTGAAAAATGTTGCATAGTGTGCCTTTAAGTTTAAAGGGCTGTTTGAATATTCAAAGCTGATCTTGCAGCCTGTTGCATGAGAGAAGCAAGGAGAATTTTATAGCTAATTAAACAAAGATGTTTTATAGGATACAGACTGTATTTTGCTGTAATGAAAAAGAATGATGAAGAAGAAGGAGGATTTAATGATCTAAAAACATAATTAAATTCTGAAATGATAGCAAAGGTCTAAGGAGTCACTTTTTCCGGTTGTTTAACTGCGTTTCGCCTGATACCTTGCTTACAGAACGACGCCCATTTTTGCCGTCGGCAAAAGTATGTCAATGACAATAACAAGTTTCCTTCATATTTTCTCTCCAAGGAAGAAGTTTAAATTTCTTTAAAACAAGCCAGACATTTTTCTTTCTTATTTTATTTTTTTGCAAATGCTTTCATTTGTGCGTTCTTTTAAACACATAAGTTGCTGCTTAAAAGTCTATGAAATGTGGTTGACAATACTGGAGGGAAAAATGGTTCAGGACACAGACATGTTCCAGCATCGTCCCTTCATGGGTTGTATTCTTGGAAAGTTGAGACCTAACTGATGACTTATTAAAGAGGGAGTCACTGTTGCTCTAAAGAACCAGTTTTACGAGCGGCTGTGTTCGTACTTGATGATGCACAGCGTTAATATTGGGACCAAAGGTTGTGTCTAATAAATTAATTCAGTTCATCCATCCATTTTCTGTCAAGCTTATCCCAAGCGGGGTCCTGAGGGGTGCTGGTGCCTAACTCCAGCTATCTACGGGCAAGAGGCAGGTACACCCTGGACAGGTCAACAGTCCATCGCAGGGCAACACGTAGACACACAAGAATTCACACACAAATTCACACCTAAGGACAATTTAGAGAAGCCAATTAACCTAACAATCATGTTTATGGACTGTGGGAGGAAGATTCGGAGAGAAACCATGCAAACTACATGCAGAAAGGAAGAGAAAGGGCTAGGAATCGAACTCAGAGCCTTCTTGCTGCAAGGCGGCAGTGCTACCCCGTTCCATGGATATCACCACTTGTATTTGACCAGAGTCCTTTTCACGAGGCAAACGCATTTGGCTAACTCGTGCTAAAATGTTAGCTCCACACAGTTTATTAAAACCTTTATGGATCAACTTTGCTTAAACTGATTTCCTCCAGATTTACTGCCGTTATAGATGTTAAGATGATCGATGTTGTTACCTTTGGTTTTCTGAAAAGTTTTTATGGTATTCTAAAATGTTTATTTCAAAAAGACTTTCGACCTTAAGTTAAAAAATATATACCGTACATTTAGAATTTAATGTTTCATTAAAAAAATCAGACATGGTGTAAGTTGTAATAGTTTTTTCACTGGAAAACATATTCTTTTATTTCTTAGTTTTACACTGGTACCTTTAAATTTAACACATCATCACATTAAAACCGTAAAATAAAGTCTATTTTACTCGGATTTCTCTTTTTAAACCAGAAGGAAATTGATTTCAATGTTCTTCATGTGTGAATTAAGCTCTGTATTGAACTCAGGAAGCATGAGGAAGGAGGTAAAGTAGCTTTTCAGGTCAAAAAGTTAAAAAAAACCAACTTACTTTTTCAACTACATTTGAAATGTTTCAGGGACCAGAAAGCTAACATGGCATTACTATGGTGAAACATGTGGGTGACAGTGTCATGCTGAGGGCAGGTTTTCGTTTGGCAGGAAGAGGAAAATGTGAGAACCTGCTGGAGGCAGCAGTTGATTTCTGACAGCGGTCGACCTTCTGGTGGCACCGACAGACAGCTTAGAGGCCAGCCAGAGCTATGAATGTGCCAGATCGATCAAAAATAGGAACCTTCAGTTAGACTTGGAGATTAAAGCTCAGGGCTCGATGTTAACCATCGCCCGATCGCCCGGGGCAA